CATCGAGGGTCAAGGATTTTATGTTTTTAGCCTCGATGATCACCGTCTTCTTTGAATGCCAAGATTTTGGAAGAGAGTAAACTAACTTCCTCACAAGCTTCTCGTTTAGAATGATCTCTCCATATGATTTGAGACCATTGACAATCGTGGAAAATCTATCCGTCATAGCTTTGATATCTTCACCCGGTTTCATCTTGAAATTTTCATAGTTATGAGTTAGAAGACTAATTTTAAATTCTTTTACCTCGTTTGTGCCTTCATGAGTGACTTGTAGTTTATCCCATATCTCCTTGGCTGTTGTACAAGATGAAACTCTCCCGTATTCATCTGGTCAAAGAGCACAAAATATGATATGGATAGCCTTTGAGTTGAGCTGGAACATTCTTGTCTCTCCTTCACTCCACAATCTTGAATGAGTGAAAGGTATGATGTATCCATCTTCTATGATATTTCATGCTCTCATGTCAGTTGCTTGAATGAAGTATCTCATTATATTCTTCCAATAAGCGTAATTATCTCCATTGAAGAAAAGAGGCTTGTTGACGGGCATAGAATCAAGACCAAAGTCGGAGTTTGAAGTGGAGGCCATTGATGACTTGAATATCGATATAACTCTTCCCGAATCAACTAAAGAGGTGATTAAACCTTCAAATGAGTGAGGCTCTGATACCAATTGTTGAGTTAATCGATCGACGAATCGGCCAAGAGGGGGTGAATTGGTAATTAAAATTTTGGTGGAAGCTTTTGCAGAAAATATTTGCATAGCGATTTAGAGTGGTTTGACTTTCTCAACCAAATTCTACGTCCACTACCTTAGCTATCCACACTAAAGATTTTCCAACAAATTCACTAATTTGTTCTTTCTTTTGATGACAAAGACTAACCTTACAACTCCCTCAATAATTATACTCAAAATTCTTGAGAACACTCTCTCCCAAAGAGAAGAATACAAATTTCACAAACTTACAGAAAATTCTCACAAGGCAATGTGTTTGCACAATTCTAGAACTAAGAAAGAACACTCAAAGATAGATACAATTGAGCGCAATAAGTGTTCTTGAAAGCAAAATAAATATTGAATGAAAATTTGGCTTGAAATGCTCAAACTTGAGGTTTGATGCTTTCTCTTTGATTCTCTAGCTTCTCTTCTTAATTGTCGTTGATTAATGGCTCCTAAGCTTGTTTAAATACATCTTGGATCACTTCTGAACGTTGAGGATCATTGGTGAAGTCAATAGAGCCGTTATTGTATAATTATCATTTAAAAATATGGTGGGAGCGTGGGGTGCATAGGTACACTCTCAGGGTGTATCGATACACTATGTGTAAAATTCAAATATTTTCGACCGTTATAAGACTTAGTGCATCAGTACACTAGGGGTGCATCGATACACTAATTACATTCGATGTTTCAAAAGATCCAGGAGTGCATCGATGCATGGTCTGTGCATCGGTACGTAAAATGCATTCGATGTTTCAATAAATTCAAGAGTGCATCGATGCATGGCTGTGCATCGGTACACAAAATGCATTCGAAATAGGGTGTGCATCGATACATCAAATAGTGCATCAGTACATCCCTTTATAAAATTGATTTTTGGCTCGATTTTGGTTCGAAATACTTTGTGAAAAATGTTTCAAAAATATTTTAAGTTTAAAACACAATTTTACACTTTAATAAGGATTGAAATTGATCTTTGAAAAATTTGGAGTAATATTTTGATATTCGAATAATTTAATCAAATATACTTTAAAAATAATTGTAAAATATTAAAATTCAATAACACTTAATTTGTTATATCGAAACATCAAAATGTTTTCAACAAACCTACTACATTTAATCTAAATGACTTACATATGGTATAGTTGAGTCAAGAGTGAGTTACATTTGATGCTATACTGCTTACATTTCATCTAAATGACTTACATATGGTATAGTTGAGTCGAGAGTGAGTTACCTTTGATGCTATACTACTAGAAACGTCAAAGGCTAAGCCCAGAGTAAGCTTTTACTTCTCCTTAGCTTTGGAGCCTTCTCCAACCTCTTGCACTATACAAAACCAAATGCAAGGGTTACTAACTGTTTGCTAGGGATTAAGGAGGGTTTTAAAACACTTCCTAAGGTTAGAAATATCAGAAAAATTGGTTGGAACCATCTAGTTCCTAAACCCTTTTAAACTCGTTCTTGCAACTATGGTGAAATGAGTGTCTTGAGAGCTTGATACGAGGCTTGAGATACAAGGATCATGATTCTTACCTTTAGGTTACTGAACTAGGGTTGCAAGACAACTACCTTTACTTGGTTCTTGGAAAGAAAGAAAGACCTATGAAGATAAAGATTTGAATATGAAGAAGAGACAAAGGAGAGTTGAGAAAAAGAGGGTGTATCAGACGTGATATCACCAAGCAATTAAGGATTTCAGCCTTAATTTTGAACAACGGTAAAATTACTTCTTTGGTCCCTCCAATTCTAACTGCAGATTAAAAACACCATTTTTATTTCACTATTAGGCTCAACTCAAGCCCAAGTCCTCTTTAATATGGGGTCAAGGCTTCCTACAAGCTAAGGAATTAAACCATGACCCATATCGGGTTAGCCCAACACTTCTAACCCGAGATTCGGACCATTATAAAACTATATTTGTAAGGATGTATTATTAATAGTTAAAAAAAGTTGTGAAGTTTTGCAGAGAAGCACAATGAAAAAACCCGTCAAACCCCAAGAAACATTAGAGAAATCTACAAAAGTCTGACAAAAATCATCCGATGCTGATCCCAACTAACCATCGAAAATGTCCATTGGCATTCAAGATGGCTCCCCATATTCCTTTACACCAATCTTAGTCGACGATACAAATGACAAGGATACCAACAACTATAATATTTCGGAGGATGAGGATGATCTGGACCACGCCGATATTGACTTTATTACAGGTACCTATTTTGGTTTTCTCTCCATACAGTTTTTGGATTGAGCTTAAAAGTTAATGGAGACTAGTATGTCAAGAACGATGGTTCAAAAACTGTTAGGATGAAACATCAGGATTCATGCGCTCATAAACACTATTTACCCCTCTAGAAACTTTCAAAGCCACTCACACTTATGGATCTAGAGAATTGATACTTTTTGGAGGGATTCCAAACCGATTTTGACTATGAGAAGATGCTTGTCGATGGTCCTTGAATAATTATGGCCAATGCCTAACTGTAAAACTATGGTCTATGGGTTTCAACACTTCTTAAGCTTATCCTACATCAATCATGATGTGTATTCGTTTCCCAGGCTTTAATGAATATATGTTCAAAAATAAAATTCTTACAAATATTGGTAAACTTGTAGGTAATGTTGCCAAATTAGATCTTCGGAAAGATACCAGCAATATGAGAAGGTTTGCAAGAGTGGCAGTGTACATCAACTTGTAAAAACCTCTTATCTCTTGAATTGTGATTGGAGATAAGATCCAAATGGTCGAATACAAAAACCTCACATTTGTTTGTTACTCATGTAGGATATTCGGTCATCTGAATGATGCTTGTACACAACTGTCGTCCCCGTTGATTGCTATCAACAAAGATTGTCTCGTTGCGTTCCCTATTACATCGGTTTCGAATGTCACCATGCAGGGTAATGAGCAAAGTACGGATCCTAATGAGGACTCTAACACTAGTCTGACCAGACCCCGTACAGTCTGTAGATGATCATTGAGAGCCGCCCTGCCGCCCTCAAACAAACAATAATAGGAAACAACTCATTGCTAAGGCAACAAAGTCTTTAGGGTCCCGTTTTGATTCTCTTGTTGTTTCCCCATCTGAAAATGGTACCACTGTCCAAAATGGGGGAGAGAATCCGGGGAATACTAACGTTATGCCTTTCCTGGGAAACGTTTCCTAATTTGTCTCTACTCCCCCGTCGATTTTGAGATCTCTTATCCCCAATGATATGAGGAAGTTATTGCCAAGAATAAAGTCCCTAAAACTACAAAAAATCACGTTAATTCTTTTGTCTATAAACATACATTTTATCCCCCGTCCAACTCATACCCTTTTGGACAATCAGATGGTGGTGGGCCCATGTTCCTCTATGCCTACATAAACCCTTAACCCTACTGCCCAATCCCTCAACCCTATTAAAAATCCCATGTGCATATCCCTCTCACCCATGCATGAGTTAAAAAAACGCCTTGTAAACCTACACGTGCATGAATGATATCTCTTCAGCGTTGTCTCCCACGTTCCACTCATCCTCTAACAAGTTTTCTGAGCTGAATGTTTTCCAACTTTGTGAGCTTTAATGGGTTTTTATTTTCTTCGATCACCCAATACCTTCTTCAATAATTCCCTTGGAATGAAAGGGCAACCAATAATACTTTTCTCAATCCCAATCCCCATACGACCGTCAAGTTTAACGAAAACCATGCTCTCAAACCTCTCAAGTCTCTACACTCTCCTAGTATCACGTTTAGCCATCGTTTTGTCGCATCTAAAGGGAAAACTACGCTTTACGCGTTTATAAACAAAGACAGTAAACCTAAACCAACAAATTCGTTAAAACGCGATAAATAATATTGTGCACCCCTACAGAAACAAGGTTCGACCAGTAACCTAAAGGTCGAGTTCCCAACCCCGGATGCTGGTTCAAACAAGTAAGGTGTTCCCTTACCCATAATCTTCTATGGATTTTTCCTTAATGTTGTGGAACTATTAGATATGCTGTGGGGTGAAATTCCTCAAGGTCTTTCGTAAATATAGACATGATCATAACCCCTCCATGGTTGCTTTACTTGAACTCTGTATTAGTGACAGCAAAGTTGACCAAGTCATCTCTAAACTCGATTTTGAATGGTCGTATCATGTTGAGGCCATTGACTTCTCTGAGGGGATCTGGATCTTGTGGAATTCTCCTATCTTTGTTATTATCATCTCGATCCACCTCTAGTACATTAATGCTAAACTCAAATTTTCTTCATTCCCATACTCTTTCCTCCTTACCATTGTTTATGTCAGTTCTGATAGGCACAAGTGTGAATCTCTCTGGAGAGACACTCCCACGTGGTGAATCCCTCCCAGTACCCACTGATCACCATTGTTTCCACTTCTAGAGGTTTTTCAAGATCCGATAAGGCAAGAACTGGCTCACTAATCACCACTGTCTTTAAATCATTAAAGGCCTCATGATATTCCTTTAACCAAACCCACTCATTTCATTTCTTCAGTAAATCAGTGAGTGATTTTACCCTGTGGGAATAACCCTCCACAAAACGTCTGTAATAATTGGCCAAACCGAGGAAAGATCTGAGATCACTAACATGTTGCGGGGTCGACCACTTATTGATAGCCTTCACCTTATCTTTATCCATACGAATGCACCATTGCTCAATGATATGGCCTAAAAATTGGACTTGGGTTTAGGCGAAAGCACATTTCTCCTTATTCACAAACAACTGATTCTCTCACAATCTCGCCAACACCAATCGAAGATGCTCATGACGCTCTTCCATGGAAGTTTTAAATATCATTATATCATCTAGATAAATGACTAAGAACTTATCGAGATAGTTATGGAACACTTGATGGTATCCCAACCTGAGATCCAACTTTGTGAAATACTTGGCATTACTCAGCTGGTCAAACAAATATGCAATCAAAGGAATATGATATTTATTCCTGACAATTACTTTATTTAATGCCCTACAATCCACAGACAATCTCAAACTCCCATCATGTTTATTCTGAAACAACACAGGCGCCCCAAAAGGTGACTTCGAGGGTCGAATGAATCTTACTTGAAGCAACCCATCCAATTGCTTCCTTAACTCAGCCAACTCTGGAGGACTTATCTGATAAGGGCACTTTGCAGGATTAAATCAATCTCATGATCCACCGACCTTCTATGAGGTAACTCTTTTAGCAAATCATTTGGAATTACATCCTCAAAGTCTTTCAATATTTCCCGAACACCCTTGGGAACATTACCAGAGTAGTCATCCTTATTGGAAATCGGAAATACCAAGAATGAAGGCTCTCCCTTCTTCACTCATTTATTAAACTGGATAGTCGATAATATCTTCTTTTTATGACGTAGAAGAATCGTAGCTGGTACCATACACAGTTACTCCCCTATTAACATTAAATAACTTAACGCTAGAACATGAATCACTTGGGCTTTCATCATAAAATCAAGCCCTAGGACCACATCAAAATCATCCAGGTGGGAAATAGTGAAATCTACAGTTCCTTCCCAAGACCCAAGTTTGATACTCACCCTCTTTGCGCCTCCACATATCATTAAAGCAGCTAAGTTAACTGCTTTCATTTGTCCCACCTCTTTAGTGACAATCAAATCACATCTATTAGCTTTATCAGGAGAGATAAATGTATTTGTTGTTCCCGTGTCGACTAGAGCTTTATAGGTTTTCCCATTTACTGAAATGTTTGCATACATCAATTATCTCTCTGGCTCTTTTCTCAAGCTACTCAGTTGAGACTGTAAGGCAGTGATAGATAAAATCCATTCTAGCTGGCTCAGGTTCGCTATCTTCTGTGGGAGCGTTCACTTGGCCTCTGACATTTGTTGTTGCCACCATGGAATTAAAAGTACTTCGTTGTGGACACTCTGTAACTCGATGAGGCCCATTATAAAGGAAACACTTTAATGAGGGTCTATTCCCTCTATTGCTCGATCTAGGACCAGCATGAACTCTATTTTGGGTTGGGCCCCTTCTAGAGAATCTCCTATTCACTCCACAACCCGTTGTCTTCTCCCATCGAGCTAGCTTATTCCCACCCACTTGTTGGGTATTAGCTTCACTAGTAGAAGGCGCCTTACGCTTTCCAAGATGATCGTTGTAATCATTAAAGTACTTATCAATGGTTATCGTTACTGTCAGATCTTGTACCTTCTGCCTCTGCAACTCAAGTCTAGCCCACGGTTTGAGCCCTTGAAGGAAATGAAACAATTTATCCTTTTTAGACATATCCTTGATAACTAGCATCAAAATTGAGAACTCTCTCACATACTCCCGTATGATTCATGTATGACACAATTCTCCCAACTTCTAACTAGCGTTATAGTCTACATTCTTAGGGATAAAAGAATTATTCAATTCTTTCTTTAACATGTCCCGAGGTTTTATGGAGCACACTCAATCTTTGAACTTGGACTGCCACCATAACTTAGCGTCACCTCCAAATACATCGAAGCCATCGCCACCTTATCTTCCTCAGACTTGGTGCGTATTGCCCGAAGATACTGCTCCATGTCAAACAAAAAATTCTCAACCTCTTTAGCATCCTTCACCCCATCAAAACGTTTGAGATCAATGATGATATTGGCTCGAATGCCCACTTTCACCAGGGTTTGTAATCAAACTAGCTATATCCGCTTACACTAACTTGAGCCTTCAGCTCATCATACCCAAGTTGTATGGCTCATATGGAATCTCTTGCCACATTCCCTGATTTAGTCACTGTCTCAACCAATTCCTCTTGAGTCTCCTCAACTTTCCTCATTCGATCACCAGAGATCATATGCGCTCTAAGGGTTGCTAATGCAGCTTCAATCTCATCTAATTTTTATTGATCCACATAACTCGTCTCTTGTATGACCAGAACTGCAACTTCTTGCTCCTTACATCTGTGAGAGCTTGCTGATCCACCATTACGCTTACGAACCATTCTCTTTTGTTCGTCAGCACATCTATTTCTGCAACACAAATAAGCACCCTCGTGCCTAAATAAGGAAAATAATTGAGCACCACTGTGTTGAATTCATAGCACCTCTGTGCTTGAATTAACGATTGAGCACCTCTGTATTTCAATCAACAAACTGACACCTTTATGCAGTTAAAAATGACTTTGCACCTTTTTGCTTCAGTCTAGAATCTGGAACCTCTGTGCTTGGTAATGATTGAGCACCTATGTGTTTCAATAAAAAAATTGACACCTCTGTGTAGTTAGAAATGACTGAGCACCTCTGTGCTTAAGTCTAGAATCTAATACCTCTTTATGTTGTAATGATTGAGCACATCTGTGCTTATATCTAAAGTTTGGCACCTCTGTGCTTATATCTAAAGTTTGGCACCTCTGTGCTTTAAAATTGATTGAGCACATATGTGCTTAATCTAAAGTTTGGCACATCTGTGCTTTAAAATTGATTAAGCACCTTTGTGTTACAATTCAGCAATTATGCACCGTTGTGTGTCATATAGGCAACAAGTATCACCATGCTTTAATTAACGGAACGAGCACCTTCGTGCTTTTTAACCAAAAAAAGATCATGCACCTTTGTGCTTTGATACCAAGTGTCATGGACTTAGCCTAGTTGGTTCGGTTGCTAACCCGTGCGGCACTCAAAAGGGACACTTCCCTACCTAGTCAGCCTTAATCTCGTATATCTGATAAAACACAAACATGAATCTGGTTATACCTTCGCAACAACAAGACGCTTCGACCAAAGACCAAGACTGTGGGGAATAACGGATGCACCTGGTCGACCTCAGACTTCTCCGAGGTTAAAAATGTTTTATTAATGGAAAAATAACATCGGGTTACAGAGAACTCACCCACACCAGGCAGTAGGGGTAGGTCTCGATGGTGTTCACAGACACATACATCAGTGTATCAGCCCAAACTCTGTCGGCTGTCCACCCCCTATATATATGCGAAAACAAAATAACAAAAATGCTACATGTTGACATTAAAATGCTTAAAAAGAGGACAAGCTTATTCTACCTTGTCAATAGGCTCTATACATGGTTAGCCTTGGTGTACCTATCCGGTTGTGGCCCAATAAAAGGGACGACCATGACAACATCCCCTAATCCTACTTCCTCAATAAACTCTAATGCGTATTTCATTTGGTTTATCAAAATTTCTTCTTTTGACCTTAAGATCTCAAAACCAAGAAAATATCTTATTCTCCAAGATCTTTCATTTTAAAATTATTGTTTAAGATATTCTTCAGTTCTTGCAACATGACCGCATCATTTCCAGTCAACAGTAAGTCATCCGCATATATAAGAAGAAGAATGATCTTAGTTCCTTGCTTCTTAATAACATAGTGTAGTCAAACTTACTATGAACATAACGATGTAGAACAATCGATGAACTAGAAACAATGAAGAACAATCAATGAATGATCTTGGTTTGTTGCTTCTTAGAAAATATTTTAGAAACGATGAGGGAAAAACAAGAATTTAGAAAAAATGATGAAGAGTAATGAGAAGAAACAATCGAAGCTCTAGAAGAAAAAAGGGGAAAAATGACAGCCCAAAAAGAACTAGGCCCAAAGAAATAACCTTAGACTGATAGCATGTTAAAGAAATAGTTCGGAGTTAAAGAATTCCTCAATATTATTGATTAATACAATGTACAAATTATGAAGCTAAAGACTAACATTTATACAATAATCTTAAAGCTAACAAACTCACAACTAACTGCTAACGACCTAAATAATTTATTAACAACAAAACTGCTTCTAACACTTACCCAGAAAATTGTTCTGTGTTCATATTTTTGTTTAATGGACTTTGAATAATTTTTTTTTGGAAAACTTTGAACAAATTCAATCAAGTTTAAAAGTATTTTGCCCTTAATTTGTTATATCAAAATAAGTTCAACATAGAATTACTGACATGTAAACATAAAGATCAAAATAGAATGAAACATAAAGATCAAAATAGAATGATATTGACAGTTTGATGATTGATATAAAATATTTCAAAGTTTAGAGACCATTCTAAAATAGATGATATAATTTGAGGACATCCCATGCAAATTCAAAAATAAAAATAATATCATATTCGAATTATTATTTATAAAAATTGATATTTTTTTCAAAATTTGAGACATAAATTTTTAACTGAATAGAACTTAAACAAGCAAACAATATAATAATGATGATCACCACTGGCTTAGGTTTTGCATAGCGGAACCATCGCATCCATGCTAGCTGGTATAGTTCTAGAGGTAGTGGTACGAGTAGATATGTATTGTTTCGATCTTAAATCAATATTTTTAGTTAAAACTTTAATATCTTTTGATTGCTTCAGTCGATCTTAAATCCATCCATAAGATATGAGGAGACTTGAGCAAGTAGGAAGTATGTTAATATCATGTGTAAATTCGATTTGAATTTAATTTAATTTGATCACGTATAATTTTATGTGATATATATGTTATTTTTATAGATATATATGTTATTCATAACTTGTTAAATTGAGCTTGTAACACCCCTTACCTGTAACGTATTATCAACATCTCTATGTGATATATATGTGAAGTTTGAAACCATAATTTAATTGTGAAGACTAATTTATATACCATTTAAAATTTTAGGAGCATTTAAATAATTAACCCT